GTGGGAATCCAAAACAAGCCTGGTGGGACGGGGCGGAAAGCTGAGCTCTGCCGGGCGCTCCTCTCGTTACGTGCATTAATAGCCTCCTCGCTGCGCCGGCTGACACAGCCCAGCAGCTGTCTGCGGCCGCCCCGCTCTCCCCGGGCAGCGCGGGGCTGACATTTGCAAACGTTCAGATGCGCCAGGATTTTGGGAGACTTCACGAATTATCCGCCGGGAGCACCGGTCTGGAGCGGGATGGATGACAGCAAACCCCTGAAGGTCCGGCTGACGTTCTCCGTGATCCTGGTTGGCGTCTCGCTTCTGTTTGCAGCCGTAGTGACTGACCACTGGGCCGTGCTGAGCCCCAAAGTGGAGGAATATAACGCCACCTGCGAAGCGGCTCATTTTGGGCTATGGCGACTCTGTATAAAGCGGATTTTTATGCAGGAGCAAGGTCCCAAAGAGAAGGGCTGTGGGCCGATAAGCCTGCCAGGAGGTAGGTGACCACCCACCCATGCACGGGAGAAAGCACCAGGCGGTCAAGCCAGGCTTTGCTTAGGAGGTTGCAGGACATGGCAGAAGGAAAATAGGGTCCGTGTTCCCGTGGCGCTTAATTTGGCAGGGGGCTGCATGGGGCTGTTTTCATGTTGGTCTGCAAACGCCCCTCGTTGTCATCCCTCTCTCTGGAAGTGTGCGCTGCGTTGCCTTGCACGTCTACTTGTGACCATATTTGAGCCTCCTGTGCAACAACGACAGCGGCGGGGAGAAAGGGAGGAGGATGGGACATGGTGGGAATCGCAGAGTGAAACCGGGAGAGAGGAAATTTTGTTGACGTCAGCCGAGGGTCCCGCAGCACCCAGGCACGCTGACAGCAGCGGCCGAGAAAGCGGATTTATGGGTCCACCGTACGTAGCTGGATCTTTAGGATTTCCAGATCCAGACAGGTACGAAAGAACAGCCTGTTCACGGCTGGCATTAGGTTATCTCCGAGCTATTTCAATAACAACTGTTCCTCAGGGCAGGGAGCACAGGGACCTGCAGTCTGTTTTGCCAACTCCCAAAACACAGTCATAAACCGAGTTTGAAGCAATTTCTCATTGACTTACGGAGCCTCCGAGCCTGGTCCCACGCCCGTCTCCATCAGGGGTTCCCCCACCACAGTCATTGGGAGGGCGGCGGGGGAGCGGGTACGGCTGCTTTCCAGGAAAGCCGTTACATTCCCATGGTAAAAGAAGCTCATTATGGTTTTGCTAATCGCAAAGTCAGCAACATTCGCGCCTCATGCACTAATACACTCCCTCCGTGACTGAGCTACGCTGCTTGTTCAGAAGGCTCACAGGGTACTGGATGCTTTCCAGAACAGAAATAACAGGATTGCCTTCATGTTAGACTCGCTACTTAAAATATATACGTTAACACCTATTTGAAAATTTCCTGTGAAAAATCTTACTGCCTGGGCTTACTGTGTATTCCCTGTATTACCGCAATTCTTTATCGCTTTGGCCAAATTATGTGTTCTGAAGAGAGGAGCTCAGCCTCAGCGTTCAGATCTGCCTCTAACCAAATTTGGGAGCGTGTCGCCCGTATGTTTAATGTCTCTCGCGAAGATACGTGTGCCTAGAAACATATTCCTCGCTGTACGCCTTTCCTCGCATGCGGAGGAAAACTCCCACAAAAGGAAAAACCATAGAAATTGGTGGATAAACACCCAAATTGCACAACTGCGGGGTAAATATAAAACTCAAATATCCAGCTGTCTGCTAAAAGCAGATTCGCAGGCAGGGCAGCACGAAAGCAGCTACTATCTTTGACAGACATCAGCATGTGCTTGCACGGGCATCGGATCACGTCCCAGCGCTGCCGTTCCGCCAGGCACAGCGAACAACGGGGTGACGATGGAGGGGCTGAGCCGCCCGCCCCACCCCGGAGGTGGTTTTCCAGTTTTTAAAGATATTTGGGAATTTGGATGACATCCTGTGTCGTAATCAGCATCCAAAGGGCAAAATTCACACCTCGATTAGAATATAAATATTGTAATCCCCGTTTTACTCACGCCAGGAACGCGGCGTGGGGCGGAGGGGGAGAGCACGGCCCCGGAGGGTTCGGGCTGCTAAACGATGCTGCGTCCGCACGGCTCGCGTTAGATTGATTTCACACTTCTGGGAAGAGAGGTCGGCAGGGAAACACCGGGGTTGTGAAACCTGCAGCCGTCGAGAAAATGTGAATGAACAAACGTGCGGTAAAAGAGCAGATGTGGGCACTGGTTTTCCTGAAAATCATGAGATATAACCAGCCATTACTGCCAGGACTGGAAAAGAAACATAAGAATTTATGACTGCATTAATAACCATTTACCAGTCGCTCCCTGAGGAGGAAACGGATGGCATGATTAACATTATTTATTAGGTTTTGAGCTCGGCACGGTGCAAAACGGGGAGGATGACTTGGCTCGCAGTCCACAAAGCAGGGCTGTGATTTAGGCAGAGCTTTAAAATTTTACAGCGCTC